ATAAAAAAGGCTATTCACCAATATACCACTTCAAAATATAATTAGTACCTTCCTCGCGAGGTCGACTAGGCAACCTCCGAGAGCATCGAACACGACGTTTGAAACGGCTTCCGAGTGAGGACACCCGTCCGGTCGAGCCAGGACCACAAGCAAGAGCAAACCTCCAGAGACAATCTCCCGCGCCCTAGCCTTTAGAAATTCGTTAAAATCCACGAAATGTTGGTTCGCGTACGCACGAACGACCTCCTCCCGAGCCCCCACGTAATGCGTCCTTCCCTTGTTGTAGGCACTCGAGTCTTGGTCGAGAATCTCGACCGGGACCCGCGAGAGCCAATGGAGGGAAAACGAGCCAATGGAGAGACGAGCTCAGGAAGAGGTGCCCGTAGAACGTGCCCGGGGTCGCGTTCGCACAGTATTCTTGATCGGGAGGGAGAGATTTGAAGAGCGTTGTTGAAATCGTTGGCGGTTTGGTCGTTGAAGTAGACTTGGAACTCGGGGGTATAATTGTCCGATTCTTCGTATTTGAGTTTGACGAACTCTATGATGGAGTTTACCGTGAGGAAGGTGTTGGGCCCAACCGAGCAGCCCAAGTCGGTAATGCCGAAGGGGAGAGTGGTTTTTCTCGGGTTAATGTGTTCGTTTATGGATTTTCGAACTAGAAGCTTTGCTCCTTCGACAATCGTTCGCTACACGGTTGTTAAGATTGAATTAATGTGTCGACGAAAGACGCGAAAAATGGGTAACTGGGAAAAAAGAATACCTGGTAAGAGGAGTTCTTCGTGTAGCTTCGGCAGCCATAGCCACCAATCTTACTCTCTAATTATGTATTCTTGATTTTCTTTTCTATGTTTGTTGGTTGGTAAGTAAGTTGTGGCAGACAAAGGAGCTTTTTATAGTTGAAAGATTTCAAATATTCTTCCCAAGTAAAAAATTGCAGAGTTTACTTAGTTTAATTATTGTCTAAATGTATTGTTTTGTTATATTTTGTGACTTCTTAGGCTTCCTATGTGTTAAGTTTCGTACTTTGGTAATACTATGTCAATTTCTGATTATATGAAGAAGTTCAGTAGATTATAAATATATTTTCAAATAAAAAACTTTTTTATCTAATTAATGATATTTGATTTGGCATTTCGTGTAAAATTATAAAATAATAATCACAACGAGTAAAATTATTAACCAGCAATTAAAATAAACTTATTTATCGTGTGAATTGAAAAATTATTAATCATCACATTGGTGATTTTTGTGTTTGAGTTTTTTTCACACGGTTTATTATATCTCTACCGTAGTTTTACTTTTTAATTTACTTTTCCATTTAAAAGTATGGGGATTAGTTATTTGCTTGGTGAAGGACTCAAGGTGATGAGTATTTTGCAACTGAAAATTTTCAAACATATACCTTTCTGTAATTGAAATTTTTTACACGGTTTATTATACCAACCATAGTTTTACTTTGTCTTCTACAGTATAAACTATAAAGTATGGATATTATTTATGTTCAGGGTCAACTCATGAATATTAAAATCTTTGGTATTTGGTATTTAATTTTTTTATTATTAAAATCTTTATATTATACTTATTTTTTTAAAATAAAACAAATAAATAAATCAATTAAATAAATAAAATATTATAATACCAAAATAGTAATGACATTTAATGCAGTTGACTTTTCTGGATAATAAATGTAGTAAATAGAATATCCTTTTATATAATATAATACGGAAATAGTAATGCAATAAATGCTGTTGACTTTTCTGGCTACTTAATTTGGTAAATAGTACCCCCTTTAATATAAGTATAGATTTTAGATTTATATTAAAATAATATTTAAATTAAAATAATTAAAGTTTATTTGATGTAAAAGTAGGAGAGAAATGATATGAAATGATGATTAGTTAAATTATGTGAGTGAATGAATAGTGAATTAAAATAAATGTGATATCTATATCTATACTTATATAAAAGGGATCTTATTTACTACATTTAGTATCCAGAAAAGTCAACAGCATTAAATACCATTACTATTTCGGTATTAGAATATTTTATAATCATTATAAAATATTTTGAGGAAGACAATTTATGAATTCACTTACCGTAATAATCTCATTAAGATTTATTAGGTATTGATTGAGGACATTATAATCAGATTTTTTATTATTACACATAGATTAATCGTAAAATACTAATTTTATATATATAATCGATCAGATTTTTTATTATTACACATAGATTATATTTTTGATTCATTATATTGCATTCAGATTTATTAGGTAATGATTTAAAAATATAGTGATTATGTATAATTTAGGATTACATTTATATATCAATCATTCGTATTTTTTATAATCATTATATTTTTAATCCGAAATTTTACGTAATTTATAAATCTTACATTTTTCAGAATGAATTCAATACGAAAAAAGTTTAGTCCAAATTTACGTGTGGTTTTTAAGTGAAACTTTGAAATTCAAAATCTCTTCTCATTTTAGTTACAAGAAAATCGAGCTGCATTCAACATTTGCACCCATTTAAAAATTATTCCTTAAATGAAGGAATTCATAGATAATTGTTATCTCTACTCAATCACATGATTATTTTCAATATAAAAAGAGACAGATTACAAATTAGTGAATCATATATTGCCTAATTCAATATCTTAACATTAAGGAATAAATCCATAGTATTATGTAAATCCGTATCTCATATTATTATATCATTAAGAATATATTATAGTTATATTATCAAATCATCAAAAGATATTAAACCCATATTGTAAAAAAAATAATTCATATAATTTTATAACAATTCTACTACACTATTTAACAGTATTCATTTTTATTATATAATAAAATAATAATTAAATATTATATAGTGAACAACAATAAGTAAAACTATTACTTTCTCTTATATTAAGGGATAAATTTATATGCTAAAATTAAATTTTTATTAGTATAAATGTTTTAGTGAGATAATATATTAATTATTTTACAAGATAGCCCTAACATGCTCATATTTAATGTTCTGGCTAAAAAACAACGCTGGTTAAATGATGTAGAAGAAAAACTTATAATAATCCTATTGTTTTTTAGACTTAACGTTGATTAAAAGAGATAGAAAATAGATAATAACCCTACTATTTTTTAGACTTAAACGGACAAGGGTGTGAAAATAACTCATTTAATATCTTTGTCTCGTGCATTGCACGGGGTATATGAAGAGGAACAACAAAACATTTAATTTTATTACCATGCATTAAATTTTATTCTCATGCATTAAATTTTAATCTCTCCAAAATTTTCAGCATTCATATTTCATTTTTTAAGTTACAAAATAACTTGTTTGAATGCCATAAATTATGAACATAAACCAATCAAGGGAGTTACAAAATTGTACTCAAATTATAAGTTAAACTCACTCATGAAAACGGCCGGGTATATTAGCATAAATAAAATGGTTGTAATGGCTCTTCCATAACAATTACTTGATCAAAATCAATTTTGAGAATTATTTTCTTAATTCATATTGTTTTTTAATGATTAAATTATGATTTTTTTTTATTTTTTTATTTTTATTTTTATCTTTTTAAAGTATTCGTCTCTGTACAAATGCACAGGTTGATTATTAGTGTAAGAATAATTAGATAGTATTATTTAATTATATTAATAATATTGAATACATTAGATTTGAGTTAAATTTTGAGTTGAAAGAAATTTTTTGAGTGAAAATTTTTGTATACAAGCATGCTCTAAGGTTTTGAGGTGTATAATTTTTAAGTAATTTTTCTATTGTTTTTATTGATATTTATAAGAAAATAATAATACATGTAATTTTAACTTTTTTTAAAAATAAAAAAATAAAACCCATTCTACAATTGATAGCAAGTTTGGTGTAAAACTGCCACAAATGAATACAAGAGAGATTGCGGGGTCAAGAAACAATTATAAGCTTTTACCAAACACTAAAACAATTTCAAAATACAGTCTGGAGTGTTGGATTTCAGCCTCTTCAACGCAACAAATTATAACATTATCTGGTGGATAAATCTCATTCACTCTGAGTCAACATATATCTGAACAATAAGAGAGCTCATCAATACATATACATATAAACAAAAATGAATGCTTATTTAATTGAATACAAGAGTTGCAATTTAATTAGAATATCATTTCACAATCACAGCTGGATTGATGATCTCTTCACAAAATTTGTTCGGTCTTTATCGTATTTTAACTTTGAAAGAGTTATAAAGGTGGAGTGATTCACATTTACCAAAAAAAAAAAGTAAA